CATGATTCCAGTTTTCTGTCAGGGTGGGCTGGCGTCTGTACACTTCATTTGGCTTTTAAGTGTGTGTCTTACAGTGGATTGGTGTCCCGTTCAGGGTGGGCTGGCGTCTGTACACTGCATGTGGCTTTTAAGTGTGTGTCTTACAGTGGATTGGTGTCCCGTTCAGGGTATGTGCCCTTGCTCGTGCCCGTGCTTGCTGGTGTAGACTTTAGGTTCACACCCCCCCACACTGCGTAAACACTTCAGGGAAAATGTAAAGATGGAGCCTTTCTATCATGTATAAGGGCAGCCCACTGGGCATGAGTCTTGTTTCTCAAACACCAGCTTATCGGCTGCCTTTATGGATTCGTAAATTGCTTTGAAAACACAGCCCTTCCCGGTGGACGCGGGCCCTGTGCTGTTTACTCTCATGCCACAGGTCCGCGTGCCTTCCTCATCTCGCTGTTTGTCCTGGCCTTGCTCTCACACTGCAGATGGCGTGTACAGAGGCGAGAAGCTGATCAACCTGAAGCAGATTGCAGACGAGGCGCTGAGCCGCTGCAGGCTGAAGTAGCTGCTCGCTGATCTCCGGCAGCCTTATCGCTGCGCTGTTTGCTCTGGTGGCCCGGGAGCCGCTTGGCCCCGTCATTGAGTTATGGGTCCCGATACTGAGGGGTGGCCATTATCAGCCCTCATCCGGACCCCCCGCCTAGCAGCCGTCAGGTTGCCCGGGAAATGGTGGCATGCCTTTCGTGTGGTCCATCTGTTGCTCCATTTGCGTGTCTTAAATGAAACTTCTGTACTGCATCAAAGAAACTAAATTGTTTTGAGTCAACAGTATTTATGCCAGTCAACTGGAAGCAGCAAATGTCAACAATACAGTCAAGTATTACACCAATTAGCCGAGATCCTGAATATTAATCTACTTTTCTTATGTTCTTAGTTGATCGTGTTATATTAATTACACGTAAGAAAACCTCAGAGATATTTGCTTGTGTCATATTATATGCAAAGTGATTTGTACGTTCAAACTTTGCTACTTCTAGAGACATGTTCACAGTGAAGAAGTGCATGGTGGTGAGACACCACGGCCTGCGCACGGTGAACGGGGGTCCCTCTGAGGCTTTGCAGGTAGACCCACCTCCCATACAGGTCAAATCTGCATGTCATGCATGTGCTTCACCCCATCAGACCTGTGTTCATCTGAGGTGCTGATTTGCTTACATGTCCAAGGGGCTTAGTGCCTAAGGAAAATAAATCAAGGGAGGTAGATTCTCCTTGGAGAAGGCCTTACAGCTGCAAGCTAAGATTTAATGGGACTGCTGAACTGGAGCTTTTGCTATATGACATGTAACTGTGATCTGCCTTGACCTCATTGGTTGGATCATTCTCAGTATTGCAGTTCAGGGTCTGTGATTTGTGTTAACATGAGCCTGTTCTTGTTCCTTCCTGTGACTAAGCCAGTTCATGCTGTCTCTCAGAGAAGCTGCTCCTGATCTTTCCCTCAGTACAGCCCCTTGGTTTGCTTTTCCTCGATTACAAAACTGAAACAGTCGGTGAGCATTGGGTCATAGGTGAACACAGCCAGTGTGCATTGGGTCATAGGTGAACACAGCCAGTGAGCATTGGGTCATAGGTGGACACAGCCACTGAGCATTGGGTCATAGGTGGACACAGCCAGTGAGCATTGGGTCATAGGTGAACATAGCCAGTGAACATTGGGTCATAGGCCAGTATTTATCATTCTGGTGCATGAGAAGCTCCTCATACCAAATTACCCAATTTTGTTACCTGGTTTCACTATTACGGAATTTCTTTGTGATTTTTGCTGTCAAAATCAGAATATGGCATTTCTTTAGTAAAGAGTAAGTGCCATGTCTTATAAATTGATGCAAGTAGTATCTCTTCTTCGTTGCAGAGCCCCTGGGATGTGGAGTTTGATGTGTGGTGGGATGAAGTCATGGAAACCGCATCTGAGACATGTGAGCCAGAGTGGATGGATGCTGAGGACCCGCTCTTTATTCTGTACACTAGTGGATCCACAGGAAAGCCCAAGGCAAGTAGCCGCATTTTTCTTATTTCAATTATATATGACAACAGATAATGTTCTTCTATGTTCAGTCAGTGGTTTTTCTTGTATGCTTATGGCTAGATTCTTACCAAAAACACTTAAATTAACATGTAAGGCACTCGAGGGAAAAGACTATAGGAAAAACATACATGGACTTTACATTTGACGTGATTGAGACACGTGACCTGTTTATTGCTTCTTGTTTCTTAATAGAACTTATATTGGTTTTATATTCTAACAAAAGATACCTATGGTCTCTCCACATTCTAACAAAAGACACCTATGGTCTCTCCACATTCTTACAAAAGACACCTATGGTCTCTTCACATTCTAACAAAAGACATCTATGGTCTCTCCACATTCTAACAAAAGACATCTATGGTCTCTCCACATTCTAACAAAAGACACCTATGGTCTCTCCACATTCTTACAAAAGACACCTATGGTCTCTCCACATTCTAACAAAAGACACCTATGGTCTCTCCANACAAAAGACACCTATGGTCTCTCCACATTCTAACAAAAGACACCTATGGTCTCTCCACATTCAGTTGGTTTAACTGGATGTGAGAAAATACTCAGAACACAAAGTAAATGCATCAACTGAAAAAGGATGTTTCCTTTTCAAAATTCACATTCTAGTTGTGTGGAACCACTATCCATGATTCAATTGAGTTCATTCAAAGAATTATGTAGAAAGACTAATACTTACAAAACATATTTAAAGTACATTAATTTCATATGTATTTTACATGAATAAAGGATGTATATCTATGTCTAGGACATATGTCTAAAGACACAATAAGTTAATATACATTGTATATTTATTTTGAGTGTCGTACAAAGAGTTTATATGATTTGGGTAAAACACATAAGAGTCATATACAGTATTAAAAAAAAAACTTTTCCATGTGGATATTTATGTGTCCCATCCAGCAAACAATCAGTCGAGCCAGTTATTCACATGATTAGACTACATGTAACACCTGTCTCCAGCCATCTGACACATTCGATTACTTCACCAACCACTAATTACGAGAATAAGCTTTTTGAAGAGCAGCCTGCAGGAGGTTTGCTCTGACACACAATACATCATTTGTAGAGTCAACACAAAGTCTAACCTTCGGGGAAAATCCTTTGAGGGTTTCATCCTCCCTTGATTGTGTGGCCCACAGGGAGTTGTCCACACCACTGCTGGATATCTACTTTATACAGCGCTGACATTTAAGTACGTCTTTGACCATCGGCCCAATGACGTGTACTGGTGCACCGCAGACATTGGCTGGATCACTGGGCACTCTTACATCACCTATGGACCACTGGCTAACGGGGCCACCAGCGTGCTTGTGAGTCTCAGTCATCGTCATCATCAAGCCACCTGCTTCAACCTCTTAAGGGCTTTTGGGATGTTAAACTCTGATTAACATGCATGGAAAGTTGACAGTTGCTTACAATTTTGGGTGATATCCACCCTGTCCAGCCTGCTTATCCAGATGTAGCTTCCTTTATGTGTATAAAGCAGTGAGCTGACTGCTCATGATGGGAGTCCTGTGTATCTCTCAGTTCGAGGGGGTGCCTGTTTATCCCCACGTGGGAAGGTACTGGGAGATCATCGAGAAATATGGCGTGACCACCTTCTACACTGCGCCCACAGCCATTCGCCTGCTCATGAAGTTTGGGAAGGAGCCCCTCCAGCGGTGAGTGAGCGCGCACTGCACGCCTGCCTGGAGGCAGAGACACCCATTACAGCGCCATCCTCACGGAACAGGAGCCGAAATCCAAACACACCTGCTCAGTTGTGCTGGAGATTATGTTCAGTCTAGAAGTCACACTGGCAATTGCAAAATTGCACATTTATATTGTTTCTGAAACTGTATAATGGAAATCAATCCATTTGTGCCACCTACTGCTAAGTGAGAGAATAGAATAGAATATTCCTTTAATGTCCATCAAATTTACATCAGATGGAAATTCATCTTTAACAGTGACGTAAGCACACAATACAAACAAGACTATACACAATAAACATATATCAATACAACTAAATATAAATAAAATGTTAAAATCAAAAAAATTTAACATAAATAAATTTAAAACAAAATACATAAAATACCTGTATAATAACACTATCTGCTAATAAAAAAGTCTTTGTTAAGAATAGTTACAGCTGACGGAACAAATGACCGCTTGTAGCCTTTTTTCTTGGCTAACGGGACTACAAGTCTCCTGCATGATGGCAACAATTGAAATGCACAATGAAGAGGGTGGATAGAATCTTGATAAACCTGTTGTGCCTTTTTTGTCAAAATCTGTGTGTACAAGTAGGAGAGTTGATGCTGTTTGTGTCCAATGATTTTCCCGGCCTGATTGACGATTTGTGCCAGTTTGTTCTTTTGTTTAACTGACAGTTGCCCATACCATGACACTATGTTAAATGTCAGCACTGAAATTCAGTTCAGTGAATTTAAGTTTACACATTCACAGTCTCACATCCTGTCCTAGTTGTCCCCTGTCTGCAGTGATCCCTGTCCCTTGTCCCCTGTCAATTTAATTCCATTTCTGAAACTGTATATTGGAAATCAATCCATTTGTGCCACCTACTGCTAAGTGAGAGAAATTCAGTTCAGTGAACTTATTTTAACATATTATTTATTTTGAGTCTTACATCCTGTCCAGGTTGTCCCCTGTCCCCCTGTTAACGTTCATGTAAAGACATTCAGATTCCTGTATGGTTCTCTTTTTGAGTAAATGTCTTAGGCTTGTCAGTGTCGGGTAAGAAGCACCTCTCTGACTGTTTAATGGGTGCGCAGTCTTGCATGCTTGGATGGCTGGAAGTGTGTGGTCCACAGAGCTGTGTGACACGGCTCCGCTTCTCACCCTCGCCGTGCGCCTGACCATTAGAGGCCCAAAGCTGCTGCTTTTCCTGGCCCTGAGCTCTGCTCCTTGACAGGTACAACCTGGGCTGCCTGCGAATCCTGGGCACAGTGGGAGAGCCCATCAACCCGGAGGCCTGGCTGTGGTACCACCAGGTGGTCGGCCAGGAGAGGTGCCCCGTCATGGACACATTCTGGCAGACGGAGACAGTGCGTGATGCTCCCTCACTGTCTACACGCCGCCCATAATCCCTGCTCACGTTACTCAGCTCCCACCTTGGCCAGAAACGTGCTGTTTCTCATTAGTAATTAGTAATGTTTTTCATATTGTTTACAGATGACATTCACATTTAGTTATATAGCAGACGCTTTTATCCAAAGTGACATACATGTGAGAAAGGAGGGCCAGCCAGTTCCTGGAGGAACAGAGGTTGGGGGCCCTGTACAGGGGCTCAGGGGGTTTGAACCAGCAACTTTCCTAACATGGGCCACGCATGTCTCCCACACATATAAAAGCAAACTTTGTTTTTACGAATATACAAGATAAACAATAACGTGTTCAGTATAGTTCCATATTACATCAGCTGTGTTAAGGCTGGAGCATTTTTGATGTGTTTTACAGCAGATGCATTACTATTATTATTATTATTGTTGTTGTTGTTGTCATTGTTGTTAAGGAGAAACCGCCAAAATACAGTAGATACATCTGTAGGTTCATCTGGCACAGAATAAAAAATACACAAACAAACAGACACTAGCAGCATATAGATTGGACCAGTGGTCACATGTTTTTTCTTACCCATGGGGCTTTGCGAGTGATGCTGAGCATGTGACCGGACTGGGATGAGTCTCTCCCTTCTGCTGTGGTCTTTTAGGGGGGGCACGTCCTGACGCCCCTGCCAGCTGCCATCTCCTTGAAGCCCGGCTCCGCGGTAAGTTGGAGGTTATTAACTGGGCAGAACCTCATTACTTACTAGACGGACACACTCCAGATTTCTGCATAGCTTCTGGCAGCTGTGTGGTTAACATACTGGACACCGGATGAGCTGATGTCTGCAGCCTAAGGAAAGCTGTGTGTGTCTGATCCTGCGATGCATATTTCTTCAGACTTTGCCCTTCTTTGGAGTGCAGCCAGCCATTCTGAACGAGCAGGGAGAAGAGCTGGAGGGAGAGGCGGAGGGACACCTCGTAAGGATGCTCCACAAGGCCTGCACACACGCTCAGCCCAGACCTGTAACACAGGCCAGCAGCCAGCCTGTGAAAATAAGCTCAAGGCTCAGCAGTGACCCCTGCTGTTATACTTCTGATCTGCCCAGTACCATCCATAGCCTTTGTCTTCCAAGGTCTTCCGGACGCCCTGGCCCGGCATCATGCGTACCATCTACGGGAACCCGGAGCGCTTCCAGAACACGTACTTCAAGGAGTTCCCGGGCTTCTATGTGACTGGGGATGGTGAGATTCCCCCTAAAATCGGTGTCCATGTCAGACTGTGTATTTAAAAAGCATGTTTCAGTGTGGAGGTCGGCCTCTCTCCCACCTGGCCTCTCGCTTTTAGGCTGCAGGCGGGACAAGGATGGGTACTACTGGATCACGGGCCGGATCGATGACATGCTGAACGTGTCTGGTAAGGGCAGGCTAGTGTGATGCAGCAGTGCCCTCTAGTGGTGGCAGAGTTAAAACCACTCACAGCCCTCAGAGGAGCACTCTGAGGACCTCTATAGGTAGGTTACGGTATTGCACCTGTTGAGCTTCACACAGATGACAGGCCCTGCCTGTTCCTGTAGGGCACCTGCTGAGCACAGCAGAGGTGGAGGGCGCACTGACGGAGCACCAGTCTGTGGCGGAGGCGGCCGTGGTGAGCAGGCCACATGCGGTCAAAGGGGAGTGTCTCTACTGTTTCATCACGCTGAAGGATGGCGTGGTGTTTAGCCACACACTGACTGAGGAGCTGAAGAGACAAGGTAGAGTCCAGATCGAAAAATGGGAGCATCAAGTATGGGCTCACCTCTGAGTCTCCTGTGTGTCAAGAATAGTTTGAAACAAATGCTGCTAGTTTGTAGTGTGTACTGCGATTAACCCGTCTGATTAATAGCAGTACAGACAGTCCCCAGGTTACAAGCAAGATCTTTTCCCTAAGTCTGTCTTTACGTTGACTTTGTAGGTAAGTCGGAAAAATAATAATACAGTACATAACAATAATTGCGATTATACAGTAATAATAAAAGTAACTGAATACGGAGCAGTACTGTACCGAGCCAACGAATCACTGAAGCTGTATAATGTTTTCACAAGCATTACAAAATATTGCATGGTAGTTATTATGAACCATTGTATTTAACCCAATTTGAATATAATAGGCATTATGGCAGTACAATCATAAGTTCAAGTTGTCTGTAAGTCAGTGCCTGTAATAAAAATGCCCATGTACCCTTCACTGCTCATTCAGCAATAAAATGTGAAATTTTTAACCCCATTTTTCTAAGTGAGAGAAAAAATCGGACCAATAGCAACGCCGGACTTCATGCAGAATGCCCCAGGACTACCAAAGACTCGCTCAGGTACAAAACAGCAACGGGAACTATGGTGTTGGGAAATGACTTACCAGTAAGACGTCACTGCTGGTTGGTGATGGCACTCAGGCTTACTTCCCGGTAGTAAGACACCTAGTGAGGACAGTGTGAGGACGAGCTTGGTGGTGGTGTGGGGAAATGTCCACCAGCACTACAGGCTGTTTCCCTTCTTCCCCACAGGGAAGATAATGCGGCGGATCCTCAGGCAAATCGCTCGTAATGAGAAGGACCTCGGAGACCTTTCCACCATGGCGGACCCCAAGGTGGTGGAGGTCCTGTTCAGCCAGCGGTGTGAGATGGCCTTCTGAATGCCCCCGAACTGCGGGAAGCTCCCCACGGGACACCCCATCCCAACAGGAAGTACAGCACGGATCATGCTCAATGCAACAGTTTGAATGTCACTGTATTTCTCTTTGTGGATTACTGACAGTAATGTGAGAGAGGCTGGGTCTGAGGTTACTGATATGAAGTAACAAAACACTGCAGATCAGAGTACCCCATTAATCACCCCCATCTCGCCCCTGCAGATCAGAGTACCCCCTTAATCACCCCCATCTCGCCCCTGCAGATCAGAGTACCCCCTTAATCACCCCCATCTCGCCCCTGTGACACACACGACTATAAATGTACATCTCCATAGAATTATATGTTTCTCCTTCTATAAAATTCCCACTTTTGGACACAGACAGGTTTAATCACTACTCTGTGTCACCTTTCATGTTTCGCATGCAGTGTTTTTGAACCCTTTTACTCTCTGAAGAAACAAGTTTCAAGTGTACAGTTTCCACAGTGCCTTTTATTTTGAGATGATTGTATAATTTTATGCCTTAGGAATTAAACAGAAACACTATATTTTCACGGTGATCATTGTTATTTATTTTCCAGGGTGGTTCATCTCGTTCTCCAGAGCAAAGTGCACTTTCAGACATGAAAGTGTTTGGCTAGAGGGATCAAGAAGACAAAATCAAAACTGAATCTAAGCATTAAATAAGCAAACATTCTTGTTAAATATTGCACACAGAGGTGATGCAGCAGAAATGTGCCGTTAGCAGTTTTAGCTTGTGATAAACTTTGGTTTTGTTGTCATTAGTGGAGTTTAGTCCTCTCTATCAGTATAACTGGACCAAGACTATCTTTGGAAACATGTACAAAGAGCAGCTGTAATCTGAGTTTAACGGCAGCTATATAAACTAGTCTAGTATGTGCCATATGTAAATGTCATTACAGTAACCTAAAGGCCCTTAAGTCATCAGTTTATCTGGCCTGAGACAAAAATACACTCAGAACATCACATGTCACCTCCCTAGTGGTCTGCATTGTGTACAATTTAAGTGAAAAGGGTTGTAGGGTTGTTGTTTTTACAGTATTCATTCAGCTGCAAAAGCTCTTCATCCAATAAAGCCTTAAGCTGTGATGTTCCTGAAGAGTTGTGCTTAACCTCCACTGAAGCGTCTGAAACATGTGGCAGACAGATATGAAAGCTTCTGGAAGATGTCATTCTTTGTTAGCCTGCAGCTCACCATGGCCAATTTCACCCTCAAAGATTCTATTCCCTGCTGGAGTGCAAGCCATCTCAAAGTGCTTTACATGGATGTGTTGTGATACATTAGACATCATTAGAGAGAGTAATACAGAATGCGGAAAAAGGAAGGAAAGAAATTAAATAAAGAAAGCCAGATGACAACGGAGGAGAGGAGCCAAAAACTCTTAAGGAGAAAAAAAACCTTTGAGGGTCCAAGGTCAACGGGCGACCCCCCCCCCCCCCCCTGTAAACAGAAAAGACTGGACTCCCTTGCTAAAAGCTAGGTGGGTGTAAACTGTGATTAAGGATCAAGATAAAGTCCATCAATGAGTCCGTTATCCACATTGACCTGTGTAGGGTGACCAACGTCCATCAATGAGTCTGTTCTCTACGCTGGCCTGTGTTGAGTGACCATTAAGGTTGCACCCACGATGATAGAGTTTGTAGGGTTAGGGTTACAGTTTGTAGGTCCCATTCACGATGTCACCCCTCCATGGGACTGAACCTGCTTGCCATCTTGTCAACAGGAATTCACTATGCTGCCTCAGACACTCGCATACACATTAATCACCGAAATGGGTTATGTTTAGAAGACTATAAATGATGAAAACTTTTGTTACGGACATCCTTTGCCGTTACTGAGTATTCCAAACACTTGCATTTTTCAAATGTCTATTTATGAAATTGGCAAGAAAGAATATGTTAGCCCTTCATCATAATTTCAGATACAAAAAGGTCAAACGGGGTGTGAGAGGAGTATGGATAGGGCAGGCTCACCCAAATCAAAGCAGGCCACCTACTTAATGCACTGATGTAACGTCATGTAAAGTAGGCACTGTAAAGCAGTGGTATCATTTACATCTAAGTTAGGAAAGTTTTCCACATTAATTCTCACAGCCTTCCCATAAGCATGTCCCTTCCTCGAATTTGCCAGCATGGTCAGTGCGAAATCCCCCAGCATTTCAGACCCCACCAGCGAAATCCCATCCCCCTTTATTCACTTACAGACGTGGTCACATGGGCCCAGATTAGATTAAATTGGATTCCTTTGTGTGTGGGCTTTCCCGAGAGATGAGGCATTTGCATGCTGTCAAAAGTCAAAAATGCTGTTGGAAATAAGAGGATTAAAAAGACAAAAAATTACTTATTACTGTTTTAACAAAAAGAGTAATCCATCAATCTAGTAATATAAACAATTGAAAAGTCTCCTTTTACTGGAAGTGACACTGAATATCATGGGATAGTCACACAGGAAGTCATGGGATTAATTAAAAAGCACCCAATGATACTGCTTCTCAATGAACTTTTTAACTCAGAACAGCCCTTTAGAGCTATAATTTTGGGTTCAATGTATTACTACTTGAAATTCATGTTTTATGTAAAACTGGTTGTTTGTAAACAAACAAATAAAGTAACGATTTTTGTTATAAAACCAATAAATATGCAATACTCTTACTGAATTAAGGCACCCCAAGACCTACTGTGAGTGCTGTACATATCAGTAAGAGCTGCAATCAGTAAGAGCTGCAATCAGTAAGAGCTGCAATCAGTAAGAGCTGCAATCAGTAAGAGCCTGGTGTAGCAGCACTATGGAAAACATCACCCAGAAATAACTCACTGAAGAAGGACAGATGAACCTTAAGGCTGCTACAGGATGAATTGTGGCTTCGCCTTCAGCCTGCGAGTGACAAAGGCATTGCAGGCCTTTGATAAACCAGGAGATTTTGGACAAGAGTCACTGAAAGGTTAATCGGTGATATTCGGTGACACAGACTGTTCTAATGGCAGAAGCGATGCATGCAGGATGAATGCCATGTGACATCGCAAGACAGAGAAGCACAGATCACTACCTGGCCTGGTGAGGCATGTTGCTTCCATGCAATATAACAAATTTAACCTGAAAATGAATCTAACAAAAGGAGGAACTGAACACAGCTAAGTAAATCCGTAATGTAAATTCAAATCATATTCATCATTATTCAAGAGAAACAGAAAAGCATGATGGGAAAGAAGCAGGGAATCCTGTCTGTATTCAGTGTGGCTCCGCCCTCTGGGGGTTCACCCATGCTAACATGGTGCCTTTGTGTGGAGTGCCCTGGACGGGGTGATACACATTCTGCTGCATCCCACATGTGGAGTGCCCTGGACGGGGTGATGCCTTTGTGTGGAGTGCCCTGGACGGGGTGATGCCTTTGTGTGGAGTGCCCTGGATGGGGTGATACACATTCTGCCACATCCCACATGAGCTTAGACTAACCTGCGCTGAGATAGTTATGGATGTAGGAGTGCAGTGATTTTACATAATATTGTCCGCCGACCACAGAAAATGCCTTAAATGTAAATATGTTGAGGTTCATTTACACTCAGCCCCACCCCCCATGTTGGACAGCGGTACACACCCACTGAATGGGTAGTTTTTTGTGCAGCCTGCATGACAACCTTAACAGTCTGCAGCTCTCGTCCCAGGCTCCTCTCCCAGTCTCTCATCCCAGGCTTCTGTCCCAGTCTCTCATCCCAGGCTCCTCTCCCAGTGTCTCGTCCCAGGCTTCTGTCCCAGTCTCTCATCCCAGGCTCCTCTCCCAGTCTCTCGTCCCAGGCTTCTGTCCCAGTCTCTCGTCCCAGGCTTCTGCCCCAGGCTCTCGTCCCAAACTCTCACCCCAGCTGCCGTCTAATTGCTTGAATACTTTCTTAGCAGTTCCTGCCCTGGGGTGTTTGTCCCCTAAAGTCATTCAGTCTCTATGGTAGAACAAAATGGTCATACTGAGAGTCCTTGCGGCACTGGGAGTATCATATGTCTCACTTCATCCTTTCATCACCATGTATAAAGTGAAGGACACCTGTATTGGGCCTTAGGCTAACGCCAAGTCTATATTCACAGTCACTCAGATACAGCTGTATATCTTCAACAAAGGGGGAACCCAATGGACGTGCAGATAGAGATCTCCAAACAGGCCTGGTCCCGAGCATAAGGTCACCAACAGCTGGAGAATCAGCAGCTGCTCTGGACAGATTGAGTTTCATTGTTTCTGTTTGTCAGTCATCTTGTCAGCCGAGGCTCCAGAGGACAGAATCCCAGACTGATTACCTAAGTGGCCAGGTCAACTTACGCAGTACAGGCAGAAGTCTCAGATAACGAGGACAATGGCGACTCAGCTCCTAGAGCTCTAGGGGGTCCTGAAGATCTCGTTGAAAGATCTAAGAAGTTCTGACATCAACACTTATCTAATGGGGTTTCACACTTTCCTATAATTTGGTTATAGTTTCCAGGATCTCATTACAGTATGAGATTGGACCTTTGATGAATACATTCATCTTTACCTCCTGCTGAAGTGAACTGGTCACATGAGAGGAATTAGATTATAGTGGTACAGGGTCTGTGGCTAGAAGATGAGATGTCTGCATGAAGCCACAGTGAGTCTATAAATCAAAATATCTGATAGAGGTGCCTCTCAAAACACCAGGCACTGAAACACCAGGCACTGAAACACCAGGCACTGAAACACCAGGCACTGAAACACCACGCACTGAAACACCAGGCACTGAAACACCAGGCACTGAAACACCACACACTGAAACACCAGGCACTGAACACCAGGCACTAAAACACCAGGCACTGAAACACCACACACTGAAACACCAGGCACTGAAACACCACACACTAAATCACCAGCCACTGTTTCTGCAAGCAGATGTAGAAGTGTCTCTAGATTACACTAGTATGGTGCCATGCCTTTAAATACTTAAATAGGGCATTACATCCTGCATTAGGGTGCAAAGATCACTTTGAATTCCTCTAAAAACAAGACATCTTAATATATCAGTAAAGCACCTCATTTTACCATGAAATATGGATGGCACTTCTTTTTCTAACCAGGAAGTGTGTAATGAGTTTAGAAACACAGAGGAACAAATGTGACAGCTCACAGCATCACTAAGAGTGAAAACATCATGAAGGTGGGGTTGTGCGTTTGTGAGGAATGACCACCTGCAGGACCGCGCTGTTACCGTCAGGGGGAGGAATACCACAGCCCCTGCAGGACAGCGCTGTTACCGTCAGGGGGAGGAATACCACAGCCNGCGCTGTTACCGTCAGGGGGAGGAATACCACAGCCCCTGCAGGACAGCGCTGTTACCGTCAGGGGGAGGAATACCACAGCCACTGCAGGACATGTCTATGTGTTTCTCACAGCAGTGACAATCTTGATTTTCCGGGGAATGAATAAAACCTCATTTGGCCTGATTGTCATGGATCAAGTGTGATTACATAGTGGGCATTTTAAACAAATCAAAATCATTATAAGTGTGATTGTGGGCAGTGGTGGCTGTTGGAAGTGGCGTCTTAATGGTTAGGGAAGCGCACTTATAATTGAAAGATTGCTGACCGAATCCCTAACCAGCAAGGTACCACTGAGGTACCCCGAGCAAGGTACCCAAGCACTGCTCCCTGGGTGCTGAATTAGCTGCCCCCTGCTATGGCACATATGGGTTAAATGCAGAGGACACATTTCATTGTTGTGCATTGTGTGCTGTGGTGTGTCAACAATGACCACTGATCACCAAATTCCAAATTAATATACCAAATAGTTTGGGCAGCGAGCTTTGTGGCATCCTCATGTGCGGCTATGTGTCACACTGTCACCAGAAGCACCCTGTCCCATGGAGAATATCAGTTAAAAGGGCTCACTACCTCATTTAACGATTTCACGCCTGTTCCTTACAGTTAATTAATCTTTGATGGCAATTTGTTACTTGCATGTCATTTCACTGATTGGTTCCCTCTCCCCAGAAACAGGAACCTGCCTCTGCTGATACAGCTGGGTCCCTGGAGCAGACGCAGGCCTCTTGTGATGTGTGCATGGAAGCCACCTGCATTGGTCACAGATAACTGTAAATCTGAGGCTC